ACAAAGGCAACATGCTGCACTAATAAGTAGCTGACAGCAGTCAGATGTGATCACGGCAGTGAAGACTGAGTCACATCTTTGTACACAGTTCTACAATATGGAGGTCATTTCTGTTTGTCCCAGTGATGACTGCTTCTCTCCAGTGGAGGGCTCCCTTTGAAATTCCTCTCCCTAGCTCGTATTTGTGACATGCTGATTCTTATGAATCCCCCTTTGTTCTTACACTCACAAGAAATATGATGTAGAGAAACACTGTGTGTATGTGTGAAGCCTCTATCGTCCAACATGGACGTTGTGCTCTTCTGTTCCTTCCCCCTGCCGGCTGGCCCGGAGGACAGCATCGCTGAGATAAAGCAGGATTGTTTTGTTCCCATGATGTGATGGCCAACAAAGCCCCTTGATGGAACTGGCTGCCCCTCTGCAATCCCACAATCACATTAGATATAGATGATGTCACTCACCCGCGCCAGCCCCGGCTACTCCAAGGGCAGCGAGGCCATGAGAGAGGAGTGATAAAGGTGGTGGGGGAGGTGGTCTTTGTTTCACATTTCATCCGCACCAAGCTCCCCCTCTTTCCCCTAGTGGCAGCCGGGGTCTTTCTAATTTGGCATTTGTTTCACATAGGTGGCAGTCTTCAGTAGCTGCTGAAGGAATACTCTCCATGACCAGAGGCAGACACACAAGTTCCAGTGAAGTGTTCCCAAGCTAGCACAGCTTAAGGCTGCTTTTCTGAGCTGACACAGACCAGTGGGGGCAGAGCAGACCCAGTCCTCCCCCCATCATCATGAGAGAGAGGACGGTGTTCAGACACAAGGCAAAGATGTGTCAGCATGCTTCAGTCACTGACCGTGAAGCAAAGGCTGACAGGGGACCTTAAAAAAGTTGACTGGCCACATCAATGAAATGACATCCCTCGATGATGCTGCTGTGACTTGTCTAGACAGTCAGAGAGAGATGTACGACCTTCTGAACAGGGCAGAAGAATGCTATTTAAAGTAAAATTCCGCCTTAAATAGGTGAAAACGATAAAAAAAAAAAAACAGCCTTAGTGAAGTAACTTGTGTTACTATGGCAATTTGTTGTTACTCTTGTACTCTTGTACTTTACACGTTATACTTGTACTGCACTACATTTCAGTCATTATTACTCTGCAGACTGAGATTTTATATCCAAAATATATAGACATAAACAATATATAATAGTTCAAATGAGTCCAAATACTTTTTACATGTGAATGCATCAGTAATAATAATCTAAAATATATATACTATATTATATAAGACTCTGGAAGGGGACATTATGCACAATGAGTACTTTTGGTAATTAAAGAACTTGATCATTGCGAATGTACAAGTTTTACTCGTTACTAAGTGGTATCACTACTTCACTCAGGTCAGCCCAGTCTCACACCAAAGCATGTAACAGACATGCCAATCCACTAAAGGATACTGTGTCAGTGTTGTGTTTTGCCCTGCCTAGACGTGAAAAGTACATACATGTATGAAGGTGCAGCATAAAGAGCGACAGACACAGGGAGACTGTTGTTCAAGTGCTGTGTGAACCCAAAAGTCAAAGGTTCAATTGTCAGGTACGTAACATAACTTACGTAGTTTTCAGTGCTTAAATCTAACCAAACTGCGCCTTATTTTGAAAGTGAAACAGTGCTTGTTTAGTATTGCTTACTTGACTGCAGAGCATATGTTGAAAATGTGACACTTCCACGGTGGACTGCTGTGTGTATTACATGAATGCTGCTTCCACCACTGACACCAGATATGATAATTCATTAAAGGATCGGTGTGTAGGATTTAATGGCATCTAGCGGTGTAGTTGCAGATCACAACTCCCTTGCCTTACCCTCCCCTTCCAGGCGTAAAGAAGAAACTAATAACTACTACTGATTAGTTTGTCTGTTCTGGGCTACTGTAGAAACATGGCAGTTCAACATGGCGGACTCCATGAAAGGCAACCCAAGGCATCTGTAGTAATAAAAAATTCTAAAGGTAACAAAAACATAATGATTCCTATATCGAGGTGATTATATACTAATGAAAACATACCTATGAATATTATATTCCATTTCTAGATACTCCTAAATGTTACACACATAATTTTAAGACAGCACCTTGGCTGCTGTGAAACTGCATTATTCATTATTTTCTGACATTGAGACTGACATCAATTAGATTAGTAATAATGAAAATACAAGCTCATGGGTCCATTGTGAGAGAATAAAGCCAATTTATTCAAATATATATGTTGTTTTTGCCATTTAGATAAAACGATAAAAAATATGTGAAATGCCGTCAATCCGAACAGGGACGGACAAAGGGAAGAAGGCTTTAGTGAAAACCTATCTTTCTAGCACATTAAAGAGACAGTCATTGAAAGATGTTACTTTTTCACACTCCATCTCACACCTGAAACACACAGTAGCTCATACATTATTCATGAGAGCAGTGAGTGAATGAAAGGGATGCTGCTTTGAGCATCCAAGAGCCGTTCCCTGCAGTCATTCTTTGAGTTAAGGAGGAAAAAAAGCCCCTGATGCTCATTTTACATGAGATGACAATCTGATGCTAACTTCCTTTTCAATGAGCCTGGTGACAAAGTCGTTTGACAGGCGTTACTTTATTAATGCATGCTGGCCCCAGCGAGGAGCCACAGCTCTGCAGCACATGTGGGATGTGCCCCAGTTTTCACAGCAGCACATGTATGTATGCCTGTGTGTGAGTGTGGGCATGTGACATCAATACGTCAGAGGGGTACTTTCATCGTGTGTTTGGTGGAGGAGCTCTGACGGAGATCAGTTGAAAGTGACAGTGTGAGAGCTGAGGTGAGCAAGACAGAGGAGTGTTGCTGAACCTGATGAGCGCTGAGCCCGAGGTGGCGTTAATCTCGCCACGAATGCTACCTGCTGCTGACAACGGCAGCGGCGGCAGCTGACAGGTGCTAATTGGCAATCACAGCCCTATAGGCTCAATAATGCACTTTGTCACACCTTTCAACGAGTCTTTATCCTCCAGCAAACGGCGGATCAAATTAAAACACTGTTATACTACCATCCTCTCTCGTGACAGAGAAAAGGCACTGCAAATAGAAAATAAAACAAAATGATCTCTAAAAATAATCAAAAAGTCAACAGTGAAGTGAGAGCTGAAAGGTGATAATATATTAAAAAGGGAGCAGATGGAGTAAAGGTAAGATTTTTAGAAATTGTGAGGTGCCAGTGGGCAACACTCAGGGTCCTCTAGGCCCCCAGAGATAGCCTAAACTAAAATTGAGAAATTATTACAAAATTTTTTTTTTTTTTTTGGGGGGGTGTTTTTTGCGCCGCCGGGGTTCTATCCTTCTTGTCCCCCTTTTTTTTTTTTCCCCCTCTCTCTCCCCCCCTTTCCACCAAATATATATATATAAAAAGAAACCTTCTTAACACCCCTGCAATTTGCTCTGTGTTAGACAAATCAAGCACAAAATGCCCTGACAGGACCTTACCTCGACTGCAGGGTCATTTTTGTACCTCTTAAGGTGAATTCAGACAAAATATGAAGCAAGTTTTCACCAAGCTTTATTCCCACAAATTTGACTGTTGAGTGTTTTAATCAGCTATCGCACCAACTGTTAGCTGGAGCTTGCGAGCAAAGTAGGAGTGCACGGATTTTCTGTGATGAATCACAAATGAAACATAGCAACTGCACAGTATCTTCCGGTAATATAAAAAGGCTTGTTTTGTTCTCTGTCTTGTCTAGTCGTCAGTATTAATGATATACAAGCTCCATCACAGTCCCGACTAATAATGCTCAATATCAACCTTTGTTTGGGAGCTCTTTGTCACACCAGAGAAGATCAATACTCTCATAAGGTGCTGTAAAGTGCAGCATAATATGCTGTCAGTCACCAGAATTTGATTTCCCCTGTGGGTCATGTCAGTCAACAAAATTGTGAATGAATTACCTGTCAGTGAGTGCAATGACTTCATGTTTATTCCTTTATTAAAAGCCAGTGAGAACACAACCCGGACCAGAATTAAAATGCAACAATGTATCTTTTTTTGCCCCTTGGTCTGGACCAAATGAACTAAACTACAGATGTGAGAGAGCTTTAAGAGAGTTGAAAGGCTTTCCCCCCCATAAATATGAAAAATATCAGTGGATACTGAAATACTGCTCTGACCATGGAGTTTGACAAAGTCAATGCAAGCTGCAGCTGCTATAGTCAGACTGAGCTGTGGCTTAGTGCATGATGATTCATGGGACTGTACTTTGTAAGAGTGCTGTTAAAGGTCCAGTGTGTTTAGGACGTTTCGGAAGATCTATTATCAGAAATGGAATATAATATTAATAGGTATGTTTTCATTACTTTTCATTACATTACCTGACTATAGGAATCATTGTGTTTTTGTTACCTTAGAATGAGCTGATTTAATCAACAAAGGCAGCAAGTTCTCTTCTACAGAGTCCACCATGTTGAACTGCCATGTTTCTACAGTAGCCCAGAACAGACAAACCAAACACTGGCTCTAAAGGGGCCTTTTGTGTAAGTTTCGTGGCCACCGTAGTTTCTCCTAAATGCTTGGAAAGCCAGCTGTATTCAGTTGGTTGCAATCTGCAACTTCCCCACTGGATGCCACTAAATCCTACACACTGGTCCTTTAAAGCTGCTTTTCACATTATCATCTGCCAAATGAATAAATAACAGTAATGTGCAAGTACGTCATTCTTGGTTTGTTCATGGACACGCTTTTGAACTTGGACCTGGACTACGCAACCAACTATACTAACTATTCTTTAGTTTACATAAGACTATGTTCTGTGAGTTTTTGCTTGAGGCAGAGGGTGAATTAATGGCTTTAGTCCAGTGGTTTCAGTTCATCAGTGGTTCGTATTGCTTTTGTACTGGTGTCAGTGGGGAGCTTTAGTGTTGCATTGTCTAACAGTCTACAGCTGTTCCACCCCTGCAAGAGAAAACTGTCATGGAAACGGCGTGTTTGATGGACGTACCTCTTCCGGAAGGCTAACGACCAAGCCATTCTCCGCCTGGCCCACCAGCGCCTGTAGGAAATACTCGCTGCAGGCGGCCAGCACGGCCCGGTGCCCGCGGAACTCCTTGCCCTCCACCCGGACAGTCACATCGCACAGGATATCCTGCTTCCGCTGGTCGTTGAGGCAGAGGAGGATATTGGTACAATGAACCGTCGACTCATACACATACATGGGGGCTTCAGGCTTCTCATCCACGGACATTCCGCTCACGCCCTGGAAATAGAAGCACAACAGAGGGGGGTCAGCTTACAGCCGAGCCCAGCGAGCGCATACCGCAGGGCTGACATCAGCCTCAGCGGTCTGCAGCAGCCAGCCTCATGATTCAACACATACAAGCCTGACTGCCTGCTGCTCTCTGCTTCACGTGGTCGCTCCCCCTTTAACATTTAAAAGCCAGCAAAATGTTGCAGTGCATGCACCCTGCTCACCGTGGACCCATACAAAACATCCATAGATGAATCACAAAAGGCTGACTTTGAGAGTAGTCCACACATTTCCACTTGCACCAACTGCACACGAAAATCACACACGTACACACACAAAACAGGTAACTACATCAACAAACAACCTTTTTTTTTAAAGTCAGTCATGTTTAAATGAAAGGTAGACAAGAGAGTGCAGAGTAAAGTGTGCTGTACTATTTGCTTTAGAGGTCCACATGTGTTTGTAATCTAAGAGGGACTCACTGTAAAGGTATGCTGAGCAGCTTGGACACACTCAGCAAGTAAACCTCAGCTGAAGCTGGGTGAGAATATGAGTACAGGAGCAGCTTCTCCAAAGGATAAGAACCCAAATTACAGCAGAGAAGTTGGCTTTTAACCATTAGAATAGAACAGTTAAAGAAGCACGGGCACATAAGACTGTTGTCTCTGAGCACTGCATTGAAATTCCCAGGTGTATTACAATAAATAATATTAAACAAAACAAAAAGAGTTAAAATCGACTTTGGCTCCAGCTTCTTCGCCTGGCTGGAGTCAGCGTAACTCCACGCTTCCATCAAAACACAAACCCCAAGAAGCTCATCTCTGGGAACACAACAGCACGTGCCCCTGATTTTCCTGCCAAACGTTCCATCCAGCTCACCCTGTGATGACAGACGCACAGCTATCTACCCTCAGACACACAAAACTTGCCTTTATATCAGACGATATTCAGTGCCAAGATGCCTCAGCTATGGGCTTGTGGTCACAAGTTTGAAATGAACTCTACTACTCTCAGTCCCCTGCTGACACAACAGCACACTAACTGAAGCAGTCCAGACCATTCCTGTTCTTGGGTGATTAGGAGTTAAAGAGTAGAATTCTGAAATTGAGTTAATGTGTGCTATTTCACTGAATAAAATTACATTTTATGTCAAAATGAATGCCTTGACATGAGGTGACTTTGTCCTTTTGCCCTAGTTTTACACAGTGCTGCAAATTAGATTTCCTCAGAAAAGTTCCCATCAGTTTTTTTTAGTTAGCTTGCGAGCTATCAGACAAATGTAGAGGTCTAATAAATGTGATTACACACAGACAATGTTCCCATTCAGGAGGGAATTGTTCTAATGAAATTTCTCCTTATTATGATTGGAGGTAAAATAATCTGAAGAGCTAGATGTTGTTCAATCTCAGAACCCATCGGCTGTCGTCTCACCATGATTTAGCCTCTGAGGGGAAGCAGCCAATATTTCGGTGGTTCTGGAAAATGGGTATCCAAGCCAAGACTTCCTCTGCTGTCCGATTAGCAACTTGATACGTGAGTATGACGAGGAAAGATGCATTTTGGCTAATATCCATAAACAATTATCTGCATATGAATGCATCAGACGATAGCTGATGGGTTCCGTAACCAAAGCCTGCTCAAAGGCGATTGCTTAATACTACTCATACTATAAAGGGACACCAGAACATGTCCAATGCCAAAATCTTTGTCCCTGGTCTAGAGATTGTGTCTTGTATAACTTGCATTTGATACAGCTCATACATATGGAAGTGATAACCTGATGTCTTTTATTACATGTTTTTGTGTACATAAAGGGATAACACATTACACTTTAACTTCCTAGTGTTGGCAGTGACTAAGTTAAGCGAAAAAGCTCTCAATGACTCATACTTTTATGTATGAAAAATGCTTCGCAAGAGGAGAAGTGTTACTGAAAATGAGGAAGCACCGCTAACATCCCTTAAGTAAATAAAGACTCAAAAATCCAACACAGCAACGAGTGCCATCACTTGCCAAAACACAATCCTTTCTCCCATCATCCAGGATTCTCAGAGCCAGAGGATCTGCTATCCCCACACACACTCCAGGCCTCAGGAAAAGATGGTGTATGTATGTGTTTGTGTGTGGAATGGTGCGAGCTTAGCTACTACTCCAAGTGTGTAAATGGAGACTGAGAGGCGTCTTCGCCTTGCAAACAGAACTAGCTACCATCTTGTAAAAATAGGAGCCCCTCACCGTGTAAGTGGAAAGGAAGGGGATGGTAACGCAGTGAAGGGGAGCTCGCTGTCAGTGATCAGTCGAAACTCTGATCACTGACTGTTGTTACATGGGCAAACGGTTTTCCTTCCCAAGGCAATCAATCCAGTTGACAGTTCCCACAAAAACCTATAGGGGTGCTGAATGAAATCATTGGATGATGCGTTCTGTTTGTTTCCATGTGCCACACCCAGCAATCATTCTGTAGACAGCAGTACAACTTTTGAAAAACCTGCATCAAGTGTTTGGCACTACCAATGCACAAGTGCTGTTCTTTCATCCCGAAGCAACAATTGCATCAGGATATAGAGATGTTATTGCACAGAAGGTGAATTTGAGATATATTAGGAGATATAGAATATACTGGCAGGAGCATTTACAGGCAACTTTTCAATCCACAAAATGGATTGTGAAAGGTTTAAATGTGGAATAAAAAGGCTGCAAGGAGGAGGGAGATTACTGTTTCAAGTACTAAGTTGAACAGTGTTGAAGAATATGTAATCCATTACCTCGTTCTCAAAAGAGTGCTGCATGAATGAATCCAGGGACAGAGTTTTCATTTTAGCATTTCTAGTGCCCTCTCCTCGAACTTTTTTGAATGAGTTTTTGGTTAGGTGCTTAAAATAAGGTTTGTGGTTAACACAATAAGCTTGTGTTAGAGAGAGATTTTTTGGTTTTGTTCTACAACATAAAATACATCAGTAAATACTCTGTCTGTGAATTTTGAACCTTTTACATATCTTAAAAAAGGCAGTTGCTAACAAGTGGCGAGACGACAGAGGTCGTTGGCGTCTTTAAAACATGGAAGACTTATCTACTCACTAGTCCTCCTTTACGACCTTAAAAGTTTAGTTTTACAAATTTCACTAATTGTGTCTACGTGATTTGTGCAGGAATCTTAGGCCTTGAATCAGCCTCACAAAAATTGTTCAAACCTTGCCTAAACTCATGTCAGAATTAAGACTGGAAAAAATCTCACACCCACTGAAATCAACCGAGCTGGAAGCCAGACCAATCTGCCAACTATAGTGTAAAGTATTGCAGGTGCTGATGTAACCCTTCACCTCTTAAATTTCACAAAAGTCATGACCACCTATGTAGGCCAGGTTTTGCAAAGGAGCCAATGAATGCACTGACCTATTTTTGACATCAAGTTTTCGATTTAGACGGTTGACAGCATTTCCAGAACAATCAGCATCTCTGAAGACTAGTCACAGCTCAGCAAGTGGTGCTTTTGTCCAATCAGGTGCAAGAAGGGATCACATTGATGTCTCAGTACAGGAGAGCACTTGTCAATCATTTACTATCTACACTGCGGGCTTACTAGAAATGACGTCTGACACAAGCAAATGCATACTGAGCCTAGACCACAAGGAGGGAAGTGGAAATTGTGGACTGGCTTTGTGAGGCTGCCCTGAGCCCTGACTTGCATTTGTAATAGTACATTCAGCTGTTTACCTGTGACAGAAACGTAGTAATGACTTGACTAGAGCAATCTACTGCTACAGCAGACAGTCTGGTATGGGGGCTGTTGTGGAACAGCTATGTCAGTCCAGACTCTTCTGGGGTTCTGGCTAGGTCCAGCTGTTGTAAAGTTTACTTATTTCCACTAAACATTTCTCAGTTGGCTTCCTTGGTCTTCCAAGAATAATGTTTCCAGATGCGGTTGTGAGGTTCACAACAATCCAAACATGCTATTTCTACCCTGGAATGCATTTGCTTGGACTTCGGTTTGTTGCAGTGGGAGGAAAATGTAAGGATGGCACAAACACAAGGCACACACACACACACACACACACACACACACACACACACACACACACACACACACAAATACAGTGCAAGCATATTCACAAACATACAGACAGACACATACCCAGACACACACACACCGCAAAATAGCAGGTTGTGGCAGATTTCTGATTAGAAGTGCTGATGGATGGAAAAGAGTTTTATTTCTTTTTTTTGACTTCCAGGGTCAGTTGTTGACGGCAGCTCTTTCCGCCACACTGATACAGATGCTGCCAACCCGCTTGCCAGTATTTCCGTGCAGATCAAAAGCGCAGGGTGATGGTGATGAGTATGCTCCGGCAAGCGGTCAGAGCTGACTTTAGTGCGTACCGCTGGCTGCTCCTGGAGTGAGCCTGCTGATCGGAGGGAGGCTGATGATTAAGACTAATGTGGCTGGAGACCTGTTGAGCTCTGCACTGCACAAAGCACTTTGAACCGCACTATGAAATGTGCTATATAAATAAAGTTTGACTGACTGATTGATACACATTACAGCAATTATGCTTATGGAGCGACGGTGCTTGCAGAGGAGGCCACACACTGCCATACTGTAGAGAAGGTGCAGAAGAAAGGAGCTGCAGGTAACATCCTGTTCTCACCAAGGCTTTCTTTATGTTTACCTGCTGCAGCCTTCATATCTGCACTAACTGGTCCTGCTGTTGCCTCATCACTGTCCTCACTAACACATGGTTTTACCACTATACAGTAGCTGCTGGAAGGTTTGAAGATTTACTCTGTTGCATCTTTGTTCTAAAAATCATGTTCTCAATGCTGAAATGTTCCCTTTCTGGAGCAAGCAAGACTTTGCCTACAGCTAAAATGTATCAAACAGTCAGATCTATATGATCAACTGCTGGCTCAACCTCTTATACCTATCTTAAATTCTAAATAATCTAAAACTATTAGTATTATATCACTTTCTGAGAGACACAAGATCAATATTAGCCTCATGTCTGAGTGTT